CTAGAGAAAGCCCGAGTGCGGCAGCAGAGACCCAGCGCAGCCAAAAATTAATTAATTATTAAAAATCTATTAATTTTTAAAAAGTCAGTTGAATTTTTAAAAAATAAATTTATTGGGCTTCCTTGGTGGTGCAGTGGTTGAGAGTCCGCCTGCTGATGCAGGGGACACGGGTTCGTGTCCCGGTCCGGGAAGATCCCACATGCCGCAGAGCAGCTGGGCCCGTGAGCCATGGCTGCTGAGCCTGCGCGTCCGGAGCCTGTGCTCCGCAACGGGAGAAGCCACAACAGTGAGAGGCCCGCATACCGCAAAGAAATATATAAAAATAAATAAATAAATAAATTATTTTATTTTATTTATTTATTTTTGGCTGCACTGGGTCTCTGTTGCTGCGCACAGGCTTTCTCTAGTTGTGGTGAGCGGGGGCTACTCTTAGTTACAGTGTGCAGGCTTCTCATTGCGGTGGCTTCTCTTGTTGCAGAGCACGGGCTCTAGGTGCTCTGGGTGCTCAGGCTTCAGTAGTTGTGGCACGTGGGCTCAGTAGTTGTGGCTCGCAGGCTCTAGAGCGCAGGCTCAGTAGTTATGGCGCATGGGCTTAGTTGCTCTGCGTCATGTGGGATCTTCCCGGGCCAGGGCTCGAACCCATGTTCCTTGCATTGGCAGGCGGATTCCCAACCACTGTGCCACCAGGGAAGTCCCCTAAAAACTTAATAGATTTTATTTGGGGGGGAACAGTTTTAGGTTTATAGAAAAATTGAGCAGAGGCTTCCCTGGTGGCGCAGTGATTGAGAGTCCGCCTGCCGATGCAGAGGACACGGTTTCGTGCCCCGGTCCGGGAAGACCCCACATGCCGCGGAGGGGCTGGGCCCGTGAGCCATGGCTGCCGAGCCTGCGCGTCCGGAGCCTGTGCTCCGCAACGGGAGAGGCCACAGCAGTGAGAGGCCTGCGTACCGCAAAAAAAAAAAAAAAAAAAAAAAATTGAGCAGAATGTACAGATTCCAAAATACTCCATTCTCCCCCATTTTACCACCCCAACACAATTTCCCTTATTAACGTCTTACTTTAGTGTGGTACATTTGTTACAATTGACAAATCAATACTGATATACTATTGGTAACTAAAGTCTATAGTTTACATTAGGGTTCACTCTTTGTGTTGTACAGTCTATGTACAAAGGGTTTGACAAATACATAATGTCATGTCAACCATTATTACAGTACAGACAGAATAGTTTCTCTGCCCTAAAAATCCCCTGTACTCCACCTAGTCATCTATCCCTCCTCTGAGAACTTCCGCCAACCATTTTACTGTCTCTATAGTTTTGCCTTTTCCAGAATTTCGTAGTTGGAATAATACAGTATGTAGCCTTTTCAGAATGGCTTCTTTTATTTAACAATATGCATTTAAGTTTCTTCCAAGTTCTTTTTTTTGATAGCTCATTTCTTTTTATTGCTGAATAATACTCCACTGTATGGATGTATCACAGTTTATCCATTCACCTATTGAAGGACATCTTGATTGTGTCTACATTTGGAGAATTGTGAATAAGACTGCTATAAACATCTGTGTGCAGGTTTTTGAGTGGACATAGTTTTCAACTCATTTGGGTAAATACCAAGGAGCATGACTGCTGGGTTGTATGGTGAAACTATGTATACCTTTGTAAGAAACTACCAAACGATCTTCCAAAATGGCTCTACTATTTTGCATTCCCACCAGCAATAAATGAGAGTTCCTGTGGCTCCACATCCAGGCCAGTATTTGGCATTGTCAGTGTTGGGGATTTTAGCCATCCTAGTAGCTACATAGTGGTATCTCATTGTTTAATTTGCAATTCCCTAATGACATTTGATATTGAAATAGTATCTTTTCGTCTGCTATTTGCCATCTTTAGTAAGGTGTCTGTTCAAATGTTTGGTTCACTTTTTAATGGGGTTGTTTTCTTATTATTAAGTTTTAAAGGTTCTTTGTATATTTTGGTTACAAATCCTTTACTAGAAACGTATTTTGCAAATATTTTCTCCCAGTCTGTGGCTTGTCATTTTATTCTCTTAAAGTTGTCTTTCACAGAGCAGAAATTTTTCATTTTAATTAAGTCCAACTTATCAATTTTTTCTTTCATGGATTGTGTTTTTGGTGTTGTATCTAAAAACTATTGCCAAAGGGCTTCCCTGGTGGCGCAGTGGTTGAGAGTCTGCCTGCCGATACAGGGGACACAGGTTCGTGCCCTGGTCCGGGAAGATCTCACATGCCGCGGAGCGGCTGGGCCCGTGAGCCATGGCCGCTGAGCCTGCACGTCCAGAGCCTGTGCTCCGCGACGGGAGAGGCCACAACAGTGAGAGGCCCGCGTACCGCAAAAAAAAAAAAACTATTGCCAAGGGAATTCCCTGGTGGTCTAGGTTAAGACTCTGTGCTTCCAATGTGGAGTGGGTTCCAAGGTGACATGGGTTCAATCCCTGGTCAAGGAACTAAGATCCCACATCCCACATGGTGCAGCCAAAAATAAATAAATAAATAAAAATAAAAACTATTGCCAAACCCAAGGTCACCTCAGTTTTCTCCTATATTATCATCTAGGAGTACAGTTCTGTATTTTACTGTTAGGTATAAGATCCATTTTCAGTTAATTTTTGTGAAAAGTATAAGGTCTGTGTCTAGATTCTTTTTTTTTTGCATGTGGATGTCCAGTTGTTCCAGCACCATTTGTTGAAAAGACTATCCTTTCTCCATTGAATTGCCTTTGCCTTTTTGTCAAGTATTGGTTGGCTATATTTGTAAGGGTCTATTTCTGGGCTCTCTATTCTGTTGCATTGATCTATTTGTCTCTTGTTTAATACACACCATCTTCATTACTGTAGCTTTATAGTAAGTCTTGAAGTCGGTAATGTCAGTCCTCCAACTTTGTTCTTCAATATTGTTTTGGCTATTCTGGGTCTTTTGCCTTTGATATAAACTTTAGAATCAGTTTGTTGGTATTCTAAAAGCAACTTGGTAGGATTTTGATTAGGATTGTGTTGAATCTATAGATCGCGTTAGGAAGAACTGATATCTTAACATGAGTCTTCCTGTCCATGAATATGGAATATCTCTCCATTTATTTAGATTTTATTGATTTCTTTCATCAGAATTTTGTAGTTTTCCTCATGCAGATAATATATATATTTTGTATATGTATAATACAACCACATGTTGTCTAAAGGAGACTTATTTTGGATACAAAGACACAAACAGATTAAAAGTAAAAGGATGGAAAAGATATTCCATGAAAATAGTAACCAAAAGAGAGCTGGGGTTGTTATATTATTATCAGACAAAATAGATTGTCAAAAAAGATTATGAGACAAAAAAGGATATTATATATTGATAAAAGTTTCAGTTCATCAAGAATATTTAAGAATTATAAATGGATACCTATCTAATAACATAGCCCCGAGTTATATGGAGTAAAAATTGACAGAAATGAAGGGAAAAGTGGACAATTCTACAATAATAGTTGACTATTTCAATACCTCACTTCCAATAATGGATAGAACAGCCAGACAGAAGCTCAATAAGGAAACAGAGGTCTTTGACAACACTATAAACCAGGTAGACCTAAAACACACATACAGAACACTTCACTGAACAACAGCAGAATACATTCTTCTCAAGCACAAATAGAATATTCTCTAGGATAGACTATATGTTAATCCACAACCAAAACTTAATACATTTTAAAAGATTGGTATCATACAAAGTACCTTTCTTATTTCAATGGAATAAAACTAGAAATCAATAACAGAAGGAAAAAAATAGAAAATTAACAAATATGTGGAAATTAAACAACATACACTTAAAGAACCAATGGGTCAAGGAAGAAATCACAAGGGAAATGAGAATAGCATGAAGAAAATGAAAATAAAAATACAACATACTGTATGTATAGCTGATTCGTTTTGTTATACAGCAGAAACTAATACACCATTGTAAAGCAATTATACTCCAATAAAGATGTTTAAAAAAAAAATACAACGTACTAAAAATTATGAGATACAGCCAAAGCAGTGCTAGGAGGGAAATTTATAGCTGTAAATACATATATTAATGAAGAAGAAATTTCTCAAATCAATCACCTAATTGTTTACATTAAATAACTGGAAAAAGAGGAGAAAACTAAACCCAAATGTCACAGAAGAAAGGAAATAATAAAGATTAGAGAAACGATAAATGAAATAAAGAATAGAAAAAAGAATAGAGAAAATCAACAAAACCTAAATTTGTTTCTTTAAAAAGATCAACAGAATTTGTGCACATGGAGTTGTTCATAATATTCCTCTATTATTGTTTTAATGTCTGTGGGATCAGTAGTGCTGGCCTCTTTTTCATGTCTGATATTAGCAATTTGTGTCTTCTCTTTCTTGGTTAGCTTGGCTGGAGGCTTATCGATTTTACTGATCTTTCAGAGAACCAGTTTTTGGTTTCTTTGATTTTCTCTATTGATTTTTTATATTCAATTTCATTGATTTCTGCTCTAATTTTTTATTTTTTCTTTTCTTCTATTTATTTTGGATTTAGTTTGCTGTTTTCTAGTTTACTAAGGTTGAGGCTTACAGATATTAGATCTTCCTTCTTTTCTAATACATGCATTCAATGCTATATATATTTTCCTTTAGCATCATTTTTGTTGGATACTACAAATTTTTATAAGTAGTATTTTAATTCAGTTCCAAAAATTTTTTAAATTTCTCTTGAGACTTGTTTTTTGATTTGTGTGTTATTTAGAAGTATGTTATTTAATCTTCTGTTATTTGGGGGTTTTGCAGCTATCTTTCTGTTTTTTGGGGTTTTTTTGCGGTACACGGGCCTCTCACTGTTGTGGCTTCTCCCGTTGCGGAGCCCAGGCTCCGGACGCGCAGGCTCAGCGGCCATGGCTCACAGGCCCAGCCGCTCCGCGGCATGTGGGATCTTCCCAGACCGGGGCATGAACCTGCGACCCCTGCATCGGCAGGCGAACTCTCAACCACTGCGCCACCAGGGAAGCCCTATCTTTCTGTTTTTGATTTCTAATTTAATTCCATTGTGGTCTGAGAGTACACTGTATTATTTCTGTTTTGAATTTGTTAAAGTGCGTTTTACACCCCAGAATGTAGTCTATCTTGGTGAGTGTTCCATGTGAGGTTGAGAAAAATGTATACTCTGCAATGCTGGATGAAGTAATCTATAGACGTCAACAGATCCAATTGACTGGTGGTGCAGTTCAGTTCAACTACATCCTTAGCTGATGTTCTGCCTGCTGGATCTGTCCATTTCTGATAGAGAGGTGTTGGAGTCGCCAGCTATGTAGAGGACTGGTTTATTTCTCCTTTCAATTCTATCCATCTTTGCCACACAAATTTTGACTCTCTGTTGTTAGGTTCATCCACATTAAAGATTGTTATCGCTTCTTGGGGAATCGACCCATCATTATGTAATGCCCCTCTTTATTCCTGATCATTTTCTTTGTCTTGGCTCTACAGCCGGAAGGCTGGCGCTCGTCGCTGCGGACTCGTTCGTGAAGGGGACGCGCAGTTCCTGTTTGTGTGAGGTTGCTTTAGGTGACCTGCTGTTATCTGCGGAGGAACAGCCAGGAACGGGTCATAAAATGTCGTGAATCACTGTCAGAATTTTGGGCCTTAGCCGGGTCCACATCCTCTCCCGCAGTGGCTTTTCGCCTTGGTGCACAGTCTACGGGATGAAACTGTTCGCGTTTCCTCCAAGCTCCTCACGTTCTGCAGTTTGGCCACAGAGTTTAAGCTCTTTTCACCCTTGGCAGGCAATTTGCAAGTGACCTTGTCGTTGTCAAAGCCTCGCCTAGCGCTTCAGCGCCTCCCGGAGCTCTGGCGGACTCGGTGGCCCGAGTCCCAGGAGCTGGGGCTCCAAGCGGGGACACAGGCGTGAGACTGGAGGGCGACGGACAACTCGGTCTCCCGGCAGTCCCGCCGCTTGCGCCCATCGCGGCCGTTAAGGATGTTGATTCGTTACCAAACGGCCATCTAGAAAGACAGTCATGATTTAAACTTCCATCAGAGATCATTCAATTACCGCGGGAGAAGCTTTGGATCTTACCTTGGTACCCACCTTGCAATTTATTTAATGTTTGGGAGAGGGTGATTTTTTTAAAAATGTATTCTTCACCAAAAAGTGAGACTAACTAATTCCTAGTGATGGATCTGCAAGTCCAGATTTGTGGGTGGCAACTTGATGTGATTCCAGAGCCTCTGAGGTCTTACGGTGTGGAACGTCTGCTTAGACTTTGGAGCCCGACAAATGGGTTTGAATTCTGGTCAGACACTTATCAGTTGTGCAGTCTTAACCCCAATTTCTTTCTCTTTAAAGGATTGCTCGATTATGTCTATGCAAAGGGCAGGTGGATCTTGGTGAATAACAGTGAATTATCAACTTACTTAGATGGTCACTCCAACTTAGCTGCTCTTCAAGATGTCATTTCTTTGTTGGAGCAAAGCAACACATTCTTTGGCGCCTGGTATGTCTAAGTTGGAAGTAATTTACCTCCTGAATTTTGTTTACATATATAAATGATACATGTTATTGTAAAGAATTCAAAACATATAAATATAAACAGAAGAGAGTAAAGGTAGCCTGAAAGCTGCACGCTAAATTAACCCCCAATATTCGGGGAGCCTAGTGGACAAGAGGCTCACTGTTTGGTGTGTAGATTCTCACTTGTTCCCAGGTTTTCAGCACAGCCTTACTGCCTACAGGATAGGCTGGGCCCTAGAGTCCAGAGCTTTGTTGAATGAGCATCTCCAGGGAGTAAACCTCCAGTCTTCAACCAGTGGAGTGGATATGGGCTTCCAGCCACTGTGTTCAGACTTGCATTGACTTCCCCGAGTTTTCACCCACCTGATCCTCCACAGGGTCCCTGACGCCTCTGGTCCAGAGCTTCTGAGGGGCCGCAGCAGGGAAGAGCTTGCTCACACTCTGTTGCTACTGGTTAGGGTTTGGCTTCCTCATGTTTGCAGAAAAGTTACTACTTGTACACATGCATTCTTGCTTCCAAACTTTTATTGCCATTGTCTTCCTGCCACTTCTGCTTATCCTTGTGGTTTGACCTTGTAAATTATTCCCTTTACTATCATTTTAGAAGTTATAGGAGGGGTGGGGAGGTAAATGCCCTTGTTCATTTTTTGATGATTAGTGGGAACTATCTCATAAAATTCTTATACACATTTTATGTACTATTTAAGTTTAACCTAGTGTCCTAGAACCCTTAGAGCAGAGTAACTGCTGTGTGTGTGTGTGTGTGTGTGTGTGTGTGTGTATTGAGGATAAGGGGGCATCAGTACTAGACTCAAATGTTTAATTGACCCTAATTTTATACTATTACTATATTTAATCACAAATGTAATCTTCTTTGTTCCTTTCCTCTCATATTTTATAAATAGCTTAAGTTTTAACATCTATTCTTTCACAAATTGGCCTTAAATCTAGGTCAATATTTGTTCCTTTCCAGGAACAAGTAGAACCTGCCTTGCCTGCAATGTATAAATTTTTCAAAATACAGTAGGACCTCAGCTTTTTGTTAAACATGCTTTTGTCCCACTTACAAATATTAAGAAAAACTAAACATTAAAAACTAAGAAAAAATTGTAAAGAAAATAAAATTTATCAGTTCTCACAGATGAAGGGTTATAAAAATAAATCTGAATAAAAATAAATTTTTATTTATTTAAAAATAAATAAAACAATCATTTCTGTTTTTATTTTCCATTTCCTTCTGATATGAATTAAAAGCACTCTCATATAAGTCCATTTATGTCTGTAGTACAAACAAATAGCATCAACAAATGTTAAGTGCCAATTTTATTCAAATATTTCAGATTCTCTTAAGTGCAAGTGACAGAAACTCATCTCAAACTAACTGGTTGAAAAGGTAATTTATTTGTTTGAATACCTGGGAGTTCCAAGGGTTTATTCAGCTCTAATTACAGCTGGATCAGAGGGCGTGTCAAATGATATTGTCCGGATTTGAGTGTAATGTGTGTCTGTCTATCTATTTATCTGTCTGTCAGAAACATTGTTTCATAAAAATGTTATCAGGCTGTTGACAATAATATTTAAACAAATATCCAAACAAGTGTTTCATTTCAGGTGGTTCCCTCAGGAGAATAATTTTTCTCTTGGGTTTTCCTTCAGGTAGTGCAGATTAGAGCCACAGAGTGAAATCGGTCTGGTAATTTTATAATCGTAGTTCATTCACTGGTCCCCAACTGATATACTTTCTCTTATGGACACTTGTGTATTGCATCTGCAATCCCTTGGATGTTTGGTCTTTTCCCACCCTTATTAGCCATAGTGGGATGCAGAGGTTGCCTCACTCAATGGGAGATGAAAATGCCAAACTCTTGCTTTCCTAGACTCCCTTGCAGCTAGGGCATGGTCCAGTGACTTACAGTGACTTGGAAGTAGGAACCAGTGACTCAAAGGGGTAGGGACTGGGAGCCTCCACATGGATGGAGTTCCTAGGGCAGCAGTGGCAGCAAATGGTATGCAGGGTGCAGTGCTAGAGGGGTTGGTGGTGCAAGATGTAGACTCTTTTGCTTGCTGGTGGTGGTAGGGATGTCCACACTTGATTAGTTGTGCCATGTAGTAGTGGGCATTGGTCCTGTGTTTCATAGAACCTGGCTCTCCGTCCATATTGGCAATTTCGTGATCTACCCAACATTATAAATTCCTTTCTTGTCAGACTCAACCTGAGTTGGTTTCCATTGCTTGCAACTGAGACCCATGAACTGATAACCTTGTCTTTCTCTGTGTCATCTCTCCTTTACTCCTTTACTCTCTACTTACATCTTATAGCACTCCCCTGGCCTATGCCGCTTGAATCTTCTGAGAATTAGCTGGAAGAGGGGGTCTTGGAGAAGAGATCAGGAGAAGAGGATGGGAAGCCACACTGGGTCTGGGAGGCAGAGAGAGCCCTGCTGGAGGCCGTCAGAAATCAGGCCAGCTGATTGCTAATTCAGCAGGTGCAAGCTGCCAGCCACGGGGACACACTCCTCTTCCCACCTTTGCATCCATGACCCGGTCCAGTCTACCATCACCACTCGTCTGGAATGTGGCACTGTTTCCTGGCATCCGTCTGCTTCTGCCCTTGTCCCCCTAAATGCTTTATCAAACACAGGGATCCTGAGAAAACATAGCATCAGCCAATGTCAGTTCTCTGTGACAACTCCCCAGTGTCTCCCCATTTCTCTCAGATTAAAAGTCTTTATAGAGGACTAAAGTTTTTCCCCTACTAGTAATGAGTAATTCTCATTACTATGCATTTGATCCCAGGAGAAACTAAGTGCAGGAGGGGATGCTGGGAGGGGAGGGGCCACTTGCTGGGGTCCCCCTGGCCCCCACCCCATTTGGGAGCAAAGCCATGTTTTCTTGGACCCCTCAGAGCATCCGGGCTGTTCCACAGGGCAGGAATAGGGAGTGGAGGGGAAGGGGAGCCCTTGGTCTAAGTGGGGGATGCAGCGCCATCACCAGCCAGCGCCCATAACCATCCGTCTCCACACCAGCTGCGGGGTTAGCAGGCAGGGAGCCACTCTGCCCAATCTGTCCCCCAGCCCATGGACAGGTGACATTGTCAGGAAGGGATGGCTGGGAGACAGAAAGCTGAGGCAGCAGGGTCCGGTGGGAGGAGCTTACTGCAGAGGAACTAGATGTGGCCCAGATCAGTGCAATCCAGGGAAGCGATGGGGAAGAAGATGGTGGGTGGTGGCGTAGTGGTGCTTTTAGACAAAGGCTCTCCTAGAACGGAGAATGCTGTGTCCCTGTCACCAGGGAGACCAACGACCCAGGGGCCCCAGGGGGAACCTAATGTCCCTGCAGCCCCTCCACACTCCCAGCCCCAGAGTGCGTGGGGGAGTGATGGCACAGAGCTGGCAAGGAGGACAGCCACCCCTTGCCCAGTGCCCTGTGGAGAAACGCCAGCTCTGGGGAAGGAGGGAGGGCTCAGGGCGCACGGTGGAAGGAGACCAGAGCCCCCACCCCACACACACACCTCTGCAGCCCAGGGGCTGAGGTCGGGGCAGGCTGTGCTGGTGGTTTGCTTGGAGGGGAATGTGGGGCGGAGCGGGCAGAGTAGAAGTGGGCCCTGCTAGGGGCCCGAGCCCCTCCCGGGGAGCTCCAGAGATCCAGTCTCGGTGTCCCAGTGGAGCGGGGAGGAGAGGGGGCCGCTGGCCAGCAGCTTCCATCAACTCGCCCTGAGCCTTCCCTTTCCACCTGGGAGCTTCCTACCGCCCTGCCTCTCTGGGGTCCCCGCCAGACGCAAGTGATGGTGGCCACTCCGTCGACTCTGAGTAAACAGCTGTGTGTTCTCACTGGAGTCGCCTGTGTTTATCTTACAGGGCATCGCGCCTCCCCACTGGGCGGAAGAGAAGAGGAGGAGGCCGTGGTGGGAGCAGGGTTCCAGGGAGACGCCCTGCCTGGTTGCGAGTTGGACCAGGTGGGTGAGCGCGGCCTCAGCTCGGGGCAGCCCTCCTCTGGTCCCCGGGCGTTGGTTCCGGAGGCGATGCTTCTGGAAGCCGTGGAGACGGGGGTCCGCGTTTCTATCCCCCGGGTCGGAAGGCCGCCCTCCCTGCTCACGTGTCCCGGCTGCTCGCACAGCTGCGGTTCCTGCTTTGGCCGCACCTGCAGCTGCTCGCTTGGAGCGCCGCCCGCCCCCGCATCGTCTCCTGCCTCCGCATCCTCTCCTGTCCCCGCATCCTCTCCTGCCCCCGCATCCTCTCCTGCCCCCGCATGCTCTCCTGCCCCCGCATTCTCTCCTGCCCCCGCATCCTCTCCTCCCGCTCCACGGAGCTCGTGGTCTCCATCGTCCATCTCAAGTGTAGTGAGCGCGGCTCACGTTTTATCTCTGCCTCGGCTGCTCACCACGTGAGTGAGGAGTGTCATCCCTCTGTCTTGGCTTTCAGCTTCATTCAGGTTCCTCCGGCAAACCTCGATTTCTTCCTGTCGATTTGGACTTGAACTTCCTGAAGAAGCTCCCAGTGGAGGCGATCATGGCTTTTGCCGCTGGCGGAGGCTGGGGTCTCACCTCAGGGCAGAATGTCTGGGTCTGGCACCTGTCGGGCTGCCCCTGTGGGCGAAGTTCCCTTTGGACAGAGCCGGGGCTCCACTCCCTACTGACCCTGCAGGTAGACGGGTGGACTGGGGACAGGTGGGGGCTGTGCTGGGCTTGGGTTCCGCACAGGTACTCTCCGCAGGGCGGGGTCCGGAGGCCCCCGTGGGCTGCACTTGGATTCCTGGTGCAGGCGGGGCCGGGTTAGACTGTGGCCGAAGCCGAAGCCAAGGGGGCCCCGGACCCGCACGGTTAGGCTGCCTTGGCCGTTCCGCACGGAGGCTGGCCGAGGCTGGCGCTCTCCCAGCGCGGGGGATTCCTGCTCTGATTTGTGCCGGTGGAGAGAGCGCTGGGGGTGGGCGGCAGCGGCAGTCTTCTTCCCCTGCCGCTCGCTGGCTGTGCTGTGGCCTCCGCCCTGCGCCCTGATCCTCCGCCACATCTGCGTTCCTCCCCGGCGGAGAGTTCTCAGAGCAGCAGTTAGAGGTGGGAGTGTGCTGCTTGCAGCTGGCGGGGACCCTGTGCCGTTCCTGGGGGCGGGGAAGGAGTGCTGCGGTTAGATCCGCTGAAGGCTGAGGCTTCAGGGTGACCCGGTAGCCCTCTGGCTCAGATCTCTTATAACCCAGGAGCAGATATTGGAACATTACCTTGTCTTTCCGGCCTGTCAGTGAGTCCTGGATCTCTGTCTCCACGTGTAACCATGGACGCCATGAATTCAGTCTGCTGGGGGTTTCTGGTAGTCAGAGAGCGGCTCCATGTAGAGCTTTAGTTCCTCATATCCATGACCCACAGTAATCCACGGATCCTTCATGATTTGCTCTTACTTCTTACTGAGAATCAGAGATTTCTTAAACAGATTTTCATTCCATAAATATGCAGAAGAGAACATAATATATTCTGTCCTAGTACCCCTCTGGCAGTCCTTGAAGTTCTGTCCATCAAGAGGCAGGAATCCATCGGCCAGTGTCGACAGAATGATTTCCTGTGCTTCTTCCCTGGAAGAGTTCCGGGCAGCCTGAGGGAGACCACCCCAGAAGGTGTCCAGCTTGTTGTAAAAGGTGCATTTGTTGCTGAAGCCAAATTGTGATGTTCACACCCAAGAGCAGGTTTTCTGCCTTTAAATCTCTGTGGACAATACCCTCCTGGTGGACTCTGCTCTCAGCTGCTTTGCTTTCCTACTGCCATGAGCCACGAGGTACTCAAACACGTCTCCTCCACTAGCGTCCTCCTCTCCACAAAGGCTGAGAGTTTCCTCAGCCTCCATCGCTTCAAATACTTCACCATGTTGAGATGATTCAAACCTTCATGATTCCTGCTTTGCGGGACAGTCTCCGGAGGCTGGAGGAGTTCCGCTGAGTCTCATCAATGATCTTCACGGCTCTCGCTTTCCCAGCCAGGATGTGCCGGCCAACTTCACCGTAGCCCAGTCTCCCTTGCCGACGGTCTCGAGGGTCTGGTGGCGGCCATGTGAATCTGGGTCTCTCCTCAACAGAGACGGCTCAGAGGCCCCGCAGCAGCTGGACTCACTGCTGCGCCTGGAGTCGAGGCGTCCTAACGTCGGCTTACATCTGGGAAGAACTGGTGAGAAACTTGGTCCAAATCAAAAGAAAACCAGTTCAAAGTTCACCCCATGAACTGGTCTTTATGACTGAATCAAAACACAATGCCAAACAAAACTAAAAAGAAACAAAAGCAAATACTAACAAGCTAAATTTAAAAAGAAAAAATTGAGGGAAAGAAAAATAATAAAAGTAAAATTAGGGCTTCCCTGGTGGCGCAGTGGTTGAGAGTCTGCCTGCTGATGCAGGGGTCGCGGGTTCATGCCCCGGTCCGGGAAGATCTCACATGCCGCGGAGCGGCTGGCCCTGTGAGCCATGGCCGCTGAGCCTGCGCGTCCGGAGCCTGTGCTCCGCAACGGGAGAGGCCACAGCAGTGAGAGGCCCGCGTACCGCAAAAAAAAAGTAAAATTAAAGAATAAAGAAAAGAAGTGAGGAAAAAATAATATAGGGGGAAAAAATAAGCCCCAACAACTAAAATAGACCAAAATGCCAAGGAGAAAACAAGCTAACTTTCGTCAGAGTCCCTCAGGTCACTGAAAAGCAGCTTACTGAGCCAGAAGGACTAATAAACTAGTCCTAACTGGGAACTTATTTGGTTCTTGGAATTTTAAAACAATAGCTCCTTATGAGGTCATAGGAAGAAACAGACCTATCAACAAAGTTGGGGATAACCACAGTGATTTTCTCACTTTTTGATCTCAAGTGAGACCCATTACTCATAAAAAAAAATTAGGGACTTCCCTGATGGTCAAGTGGTTAAGACTCTACACTTCCACTGCATGGGGCACAGGTTCGATCCCTGGTCAGGGAAGTTCCACATGCTGCGAGCGGAGCAGCCAGAAAAAAAAAAGAAAATTGAGGACCCCAAAGGGCTTTTGTTTATATGGGTTATGCCTATCAATATCTTGTTAGAAATTAAAACCTGTAGGATGCTTCAGTGCCTTTTTATTTCTAGTTTAAAAAGCTGTAATTTTGGCTTTTTAAGAGCTCGTAATGTTTACACTTAAAATATTCAATTCCTTTTTCTTTAAACTCAAATTGATTGCTCTCAAAATGATGCCACAACTTAACTGGCATCATGATACTGTGTGAAAATGTTCTGTTGCATAAGACAGAATAAGGTACATTATTAACATCTATTAAGGGAAGATAGTTCTTAGGTTTTATTTACAGTTTCACCCAGTTCTTAGTAGATTCCTCCCTTCCACAAGCCAGAGAACTCACTGTGTCAGTTTCAGCAGCTTTAAATGTAGAGGTTGCTGTTGTGAGTTGAGAAAGCACGACATCTACTCTTTTTAAACCAACAATACACTGTGTTCTGTTCCCCTCTTATTCAGCGTGAGATGCGGGTAGGGGTGGCTGGGTGTCATCACCGATAGTTAAGAGGAGGGAACCAAGACACCCCTGCATGACTTTTTAAAGATGTTTTATCAACTATACTGTAGACACTGAAAAGGGCGCAAATCATCAGAGTGCTGCTTGGTGGCTGCTCGCAAATTGAATTCACGTACTTAACCAGCATCCAGATCAAGGTCCATACAAAGTACACGCAATGCCTTATTCAAAATATTATTTATTTTGCATATTTAGTGCCTGTTGTCTGTCTCTCCCATTTGAGTATCAACTCTGTGCAAGTGGTTTTTTTGTCTGTTCTTTGCTATATCTTCATCACCTAAAACCGTTACTGGCACGTAGTAGGCTTGAATAAATGTTTGTTGAATGAATGAAAGAATGAAGTTCGCAACATGAATCTAATGGCCCAAAGAGTATGTCAACATAGTCAGATCTGTTTATTTTCCAGCTCTAAAACTTCAGGTGACTTTCTGAGCTTCAATTTTCTTATCAGTAAAATAGGGCTAAATAACACCAATTTTGCAGGGTTGTTGTGAGAATTAGACAAAATACGTGCACAATGTCTGACATCTAGCACACGCTCAGTATAGCTATCTTTATTTTTCACTGTAACTGCCTTTATAAGGCATAAGCAGATGGAAGGTATGTAGTAAAGAACTTGGCCCTGCCCAGATTGGTCTGACCTTTGTCCCTGGTTCCTGGGAGATAACCTTTAAACCCCTGGAATTTTCCAAGTGATGGGCATGTCTTTGTTATTCATGTTGGGCCCCTTTGCTCACACCTGATAGTTTATGCTAATGAGGTGAATCTTGGTCTGCTCAGGCCAGGTGATATCAGCCTCACCTCCAGGGGGTGGAGCGGGGCTGGAGTCTAAGTTCAATCCTATGGACAATAAATCAATCACTCATGCTTATGGAATGAAGCCCCAGTAAAACCTCTAGACACTGAAGCTCGGGTGAACTTCCCAGGTTGGCCACACTCCATGCGTATTGCCATACGTCAATATCAACATCTGGAGGGTCATACGTTCTGAGGACAATCGAAGCTTTGCATTTGGGAACCTCCCATACGCTACCCTTTGTATCTCTTCTTCTGGCTAATTTTGATCTGTATCCTTTCCCTGAAATAAACCGTAACTGTGAGTATAACAGCTTTCAGTGAGTTCTGTGATTCCTTTTAGTGAATCTGTCCAACCCAAGGGTGGTTTTGGAAACCTGAACTTGCAAGGCAGGCAGGACCCCTGTGCTCTGGTCCAGGCTCAGTAGCTGGCTGTGTCCACTGGCAAGAGCCACTTGGCCTCACTGCCTCAGTTTGCTCATCTGTGAAACTAGGAGGATAAGCCAGATGGTCTCTTGGCTTCTGTAGCCTTATTGTTAAATGAAGTTCTTTTCTTCTCAGGGAGCATTTGTCTCTGCCTGTTTCTCACATGCAAACACACAAACAGATGTGTGCAGAAGCCAGTCAGGGGAGAGGCCACAGCCCCATCATGTCAGGTGAGGGTGACACAAGACCCCTTTCCAGGACTTCCCTGGTGGTCCAGTGGTTAAGACTGTGCTTCCACTGCAGGGCACACGGTTTTGATCCGTGGTTGGCCAACTAAGATCCTGCCTGCCGTGTGGCCAAAAAAAAAAAAAGACCCCTTTCCCGGAGTAGTTGAGCTGCCTTGATGAATTCATGACTTGTTCTTTCTTCCCTGTTCCCTGGAGAGAGTCAGCTGTGTTTGCTTCCAGGGTTGATGAATGCCTGCAGATGCTCGGACAGCAGGGCCATTGTGACTGCACAGAAGGGCGCTCTGCTTTCTTCAAGTTCCTCCTGAGGCCCTGCACGGGGGCTCTCACCACACCAACCCTCTCCACCCACCCTTAATCCTTCTCATCCTTTCCTCCTTATCTCCTTCCCATCCTCCATGTCCCACTTAAAGACTGGAGGAAAGAGGGGCACCTAGGGTTTCCCTGCGGTTCCCCCACGACTCCAAGCCCCACATGTTATAATCAATCCTTGAGCCTCTTCACAGTGCATGTCATTTCATCCTCGCAGCCCTGAGAGAGAGGGATTATTATTGTCCTTTTGCAGATGAGGAGCCCAAGGCCAGAGTGGTTAAGTAACTTGCCCAAACACACTCAGACAAGGAAGTAGGTTTGAATCCAAGTCTGGCAGATCCCAAAGTCTTAATGATCCTGTCATTCACTGGGCCTCTCTGACGGTGGGGTGGCAGATTTGAAATTGGGGCTGGGATGGTACAGTAGATTGATTATGGTCCCAATTTTTCTCCCCTCCCTGGATCCACACATTTGATAATATCCTCCCATCTTGACTCTGGGTTTGACCTTACCACTTGCTCTGGCCAAAGGAGTGTGGCAGAAATGGCAGGTACGTCCATTCCAAGCCTAGGCCTCCAGAGGCTTTGCGTACTTATGTTCTGTCTCTCTGGGGCCTCTACCACCACCTACCAGAGGATAACAGAGCACGTGGGTGGCAGCCCAGGTGTCTCATTCTGGGCCACCCTAGACCAGCCTGCAGACCTGCCCAAACATGGGAGGTAGATAGCCCAGCAATGATCAGTGGATCCCACAGCTGATAGCAGCTGTGTAAATGAACGTGGTCAAGACCAAGGAACCACGGAAATCACCTGTAGACTTGTAGGAAATGGTAAATTCTCATTGTTTAAATTTGAGTTTGGGGGTGATTTGTTATGCTGCAATAAATGAAACATGAGGAAAACCTGGTCACAAGGTTCATCAGTTCCTTAAGAGCAATTAGAAAGAACTTCTAAACTCCTGTGATTTCTTCTCTGGGCCCTTAATACTCTCCTTCCTCGAATTACTTTACACCATCTCTCCCTCAACTCCAAAGTAACCCAGTCCCCACTGGCCTTATGTTCTAGACCTCTGTCTACTATTTCTCAACCTGCATGTCCTTCCTGCTCCACAGGAAGCTCCTCTCAGGAGCTCATGGTGTTTCCTTCTTTTTAAGGCTGAATAATATTCCACTGTATGTAAACACCACATCTTCTTTATTCATCTGTCAATGGACATTTAGGACATGTCTCCATACCTTGGCTATTGTGAACCGTGCTGCAATGAACACAGGAGGGCAGAAATCTCTTTAAGATTCCACCGATGAACCTGTGGATATTATGCTAAGTGAAATGAGCCAGTCACAGAAGGACGGATACTGAATGATTCCACTTACGTAAGGGACCTAAAATAGTCAAGCTCCTAGAAACGGAGACTAGAACAGTGGTTACCAGGGGCTGGG